AGGCCAGGGGCAAGGGCCGCTGCTGACCAGAGCCTGCCTGCAGCCTTGGCTCAGGCACTCCTGGAAGCTGGGAGAAGAGGCCCTCCCTTGGGGGTGCCCTGGGCAGCACCTGTGGACCCCTCCTCTTCCTCCCTCTGCCCTGAGCCCCTCAACCTGTGACCTCTGCTGAACTGACCTTGTGCCCCCCTCTCTGCTTTTGATGTGCAACAAGGCCCCTGATGTTCTTGACTTTCCCAGAGAAGCAAATAAATAGTGTGAACAGCGAAAAAAAAAAAAAACCAAAGGCATCAACTTTGTCCATCATCCTTATTCACTGTTCAGCTCTCAGATGCATAGCTAGTACTCAGGACTATGGCCTGAGTCAGACGCATCTTAGTCCTCAAACTGACACCATTTCTTCACAATAATCTGAAGGGGCCCCTGACTGCAGATTTTTCCAGTGTAATGTGTCTCATTTCCTTGGTACTGCTGGTACCAAGGGTGTTAACTGTGGATCTAAGCAAGATGAAGCTGTAGACCTTTACAATCTCTTCTCCATCCATCATTACGCTACCTGTTGGTCCAAAGGTAAGAATCTTTTTCTTGACATGAGATGCAATCCTGCACTGCAATCCCAGAGGTGCGCGGTTCAAATCCACCAGATGCTTTGCTGAAGAAGGAGGAACAATTGCCTCCTGTACCAGTCAGATCCAATTTGACGGTACACACATAAAAAAAAAAAAAAAAAGAGATGCAATCCTTAATGAAGGCTGCATTCCTTGATCTTCTGCAACAAGTGCTTACAGTGTCAGTATCGGTGTCCTACATTCACATTGAGTTCCTGGGGAAAAATAAAACATTCCATTGCCCAGCTGATCAGAAGATTAATAGTAACTCCATAGGACAGAGCACAGCTGGAGCCTAGGGCTTCTAACGCTGTAATCTTCAAAGCAGCAAACTGTCATAAGTATCAACCACCAACCACCACCTTTTTGGTTAGCACCTAAACACCTAACCATTGAACCAGGATTCTTTTGAAGACTAGAGAATGCTAATTCAGTAGAGCTTAACTATCTCTTTTACCATCTTCAAAAGTACCATGCAAATAGCTTTATCTTCCTGTAGTTTAATGTTCTGGAATTAGCAAAAATTCCCCAAATGCTCTTAAAAATGGAAAAACATAGTACAAAGGCCATGATTTATTAGAACTCTAATGAATTCTCTGAATTCTATTACTCAAATTGCAACTCATTGCCTTCAGGTTGGAACCAGCTCAATCCCAACCTCCAGTTTTATAGCAGTTTTCCGAGACTGAATTGCAGTGGAGGTAGCTGTCCATTTTCGTCCCAGGGAGCAGCGAACGGATTTGAACTGCATGTATGCCTTTGGGTTGACAGTGCAACACCTCACCCACTAGAACACAAGAACTCCCTTTTGTTACCTTGTTTTATGCGATTCAGTTGGAACTAACCCACAGCAAATCATCCAGTGGGTTTTCAAAAGCTTTAAATAGTTTATCCAGGTTTTCTCCCAAGAAGCAGCTGGTGGATTTGAACCATTTGCCTTAGAGTTAGCAGCGCAGCTCCTCACAACTAGGCCACCACAGCTCACCAGTAACTTTATTTTAATAAAGTTTATAAAAGAACTTGGATTTCCATTCATTCATTGTTGCACATTTTCCTCCCTGTCCTCCCTCCCCCCAGCTAGCCAATAACTTCTAAAAATTGTTCTGGAAGTTGAATCTTTTTGATAATAGTCTATATATTGTATGACCTAAGAGTTAATATGAAGTTGTAAATGCTTTTTCTTTCTTGAGGAAGATCCCCAAGGAACAGACGTCTAAAGTTTGCTTTATTTCATTCTTACATATGATCTAGTAGGTTTTATGTCTGCATAACAAGGAAATAAAGATTTGTAAACTGGTAACAATTTGATCTTAGAAAGTACTTCTAAGTCTAATAGTTTGCAAGTGTCTGTTTATTCAATTAAATTCACCAGCTACTATTTTAAATGGGATAATAAAATAGAAACTTTATTACATTTTACATATATTTTAAAGTACGAAAAATACAGGCAAAATGTTTTAAAAACCATTGAACTTTTACATATGTACCTGCTAACAAAATTTTCTACAATTACATTTGCATTTGTATAAAATACAAATTATGTATAGTATTTGCATACATAAAAATAATTAAATAAAGCATTAAGATATTTCTATTATCTAACAGTGCAATATGCACATACTTGGAAGAAATATATTGATTTCCTGAGCAACTGTTAACATTAAAAATAATGATTTTATCACAATGCACCATTTAAATACACATTGAAAATTCCATCTTCACCCTGTAACCTGATTGAATCTTTGCTTCATCTTTCTAAAAGCATCCTTCCTATTTCCAAAGATACCTTTAAAAACTTGTTACCAAGTAGTGATTTTAATTTAACATCTGTTCAGTCCACTGAAAGAGCAGATAGCCTGTAAAAACAAGCAGCTTTCCTAGTTTTCTTACTTAATATATTTGTTGTTAAAATATATGCTTTAGTGAATGAAGACACGAATCTTATAATTTACTGGGTATTGGGTGAGAAACAATATTAAATTCAGATGGCATCTGCTGTTGCAAAACCCTCTTAACCAGGTCTGTCTTAACCATAATCTGCCCTAAAAAAACCAGATTTTTCTTCATTTGCAATGTGAAACTTTAAAGTGAACCAAATTTAATTGTTGAGTATTATTATTTTTACATTTTTAATTAGGGTTTCAACAAGTAAAATTCATACTATCCAATAGTAACTGCTTATGTTTTGTTATACAAAGTAATTTGAATTTGCTACAAATTAGACATAAATAGATTTTAAAGGTTAAAATAATACTTTTATCAGATGCTTGGGAAATATTTTTCTTTAAAAACTGGCACTTAAAAGACTAGATTCTAGAATTCTATACAGTACATAAATCAATCCAATTATTGAATTTACGAAAAAGACACAATTTAAATATTAGAGAATTAAGATTGTGAAATATAAATTGCCAGATTGTGTCATAAGGATAGAGGTTACTTTTCCTTTAAAAAAGACATCATTTCTAAGCAACAAAGAGTCTGTACACATCATTCTTTTAAAATGGTTATCTGTTTGGAAACTAGACTCCTCCATCATAATTTCAAAGTACTCCTAACACAAAGGAATCACTGACTTGCCATGATTTCATTAGTTTGATGTAAACAATGTTCTTCAAATGAAATTTACTCCATTCTATCCTAAAAGAATCTGTATATTCTTCCCTATAACTTTATTTTTCAGCAGGCTTAATAAATAAATGCATTGTAAACCAACAAAGTTAACACTGACTGTAGGTTAGGAAATTTATACCCTTTTTAAGATGTCCAAGGCACATTAAAAAAATTTAAAAGATTAACTCAAAGAATCAACTTTCTTATTAACACTTTTTGGTAATAGTCTGAGGTCCTTTTAAAACAAGTATGAGCTATAATGTTTTACCTTCTTCATCCTGCTCTGCTCTTTCAAAGTATATAAAACTCCATTTTATTTGTATAAATATGTATGTATGTATCTCCACACATACCCCAACTTTATATTAAGATTGGAATTTGAGATATAAAATGACTATCTAAAAGCAGAAACATAAAAAATTTAGCAATTACTACCCAGAAAATGAGGAGGTATTATCTATCTTAAAGTACACTTTATTATACACAAAACAGGCAATCAAGACTCCACTTATCTCACTTCTATTACATCATATTGGGGACACTTTAAAAGCAGACTTTAGATAGATGATGGAACCAATATGCAAATGCTTCTTACTCAGAATGACAGATCCATAGAAGATCTATCTTAATGCAGATAAACTTTCTGACCAACCACTACCTTTGTTCTCCCCAACTGTTGTTCAAAGTTCGGGAACTCTGAGAGAGGTTAAGGCGTCAATAAAGAAAGAACTGCTATTAAAAAGGCCATGTGCTTAATGAGACATTTTCTTCAACAGATCTCAGAAGTAATAAACATGTTTTGATCTCTTTAAGTGGTGATTAATAATGAAGGTGGAAATAAGTTTATGCAACCTGTGTAATGACCATTTGAAGTAATGCTCAATTTAATTCTAAAATTATTCAGTTTACATGAAATAAAAATTTAAGGCAAAATGTAATTAAGGCATGTTACTACATGTAACACTAATGATTTATCACAGTATGTAAGGAATTATTTCCTACATAATGTTAATTTGTAAATGTATAGCACTTTTCAAAGTACAAAAATGCTATCACATAGAGGAATAGTCTAATTTTAAAAACAGAAGCAAAACTAAAATTTAAAGGGTCTGTTTAGAGAGGCAAAGAAAAAAAAATCTTTAAAAGAGAATCTTTTAGGTCCATTCCAGTGTTCTGTGACAAAATGGCAACTTCTCAATATGCTAATGTAGGGATTTAAAAATATTCAATCTCTTTTTCTATCCTCTTACAAAAATTACTTTTCCATTTGTTTTCACTTATCTTTTCCATATGTGCTAAGTGTGTTTTTAAAATTTTAAAATGGAGTAGTATGTGCCTAATTTTTTAATCAATCACCTTTTTTGCAACTCAATATTCTGTCACAGTTGTAAATTTTCTTCAGTTACTATCATTTACATTGCTTAATAGTAACATTAAACCAAAATAATACTTAAAAATTAAATTTGAGCTTAACTCGCCCTGAACAAGAAAAATATGATCCTTTCAGTTTAGAACTTCCAAAACACATAAATTCACTACTTTTAGTGATGTTAAAAAAATACAAACCGCTTACTCTCAACATGAATTAGCAAGTTAAGAGATTTTATGCACAATCCATAATCCAGAAAAAAAGTGAAAACCAAAATAAAGCATCTCTAATCTCCCTAAATACTGCCTTTGAAGTGGTTATTGAATAGAACTGATACATTCCATAAATACACCTAATCACTAAATGATCATGAACTAATTACTTTGTGCTGAGAGCAGCAGGTAAACAAATTGCTACGTTTTATGTTCAACAGCAGGCACCTGAGAATCTTGACTATACAGTTTATGTTCTTCTTGTTGGCCAAAGTGTATTCCTTTTGTTGGGGCAATTCCATTGTCCATTTCTCTCTGATGGGATGGAGGTGTGATTCCAGAATGCAAATGTGAAGAATCCACTGTTGAATGGTGACTAACATCTACTTTCGCTAAAATTTCATAATATAGCAAATAAAATACTGGCGTTATTATACCTACTATCAACATTATCACTACTGCTGTCCACCATCCTATACCCCAGTCTGCTCCATAATAAGGATCCTTGCGTTGGGTGTTTTTGTTGTCCAGTTCATAGCGTATTTGCTGAGCTGTTAAGGCAGATACCACTTCATTAAGGTTCTCTCTTTTGGTATCTGTACATTTTACTATTTGTTCTATATCTCGGTCTACTTCTTTTAAAAAGCTACCAGCTGACTCACTGGAAGAGAGGGAATCGTTTGCTGGTACAATTTCCTGTTGTTCTGATGCATACTGAACAGATGAAGGACGTGAAGCCTGTCTTCCTTTGGGAGGATAAAGTGTTTCAGTCAATGAACTAAACTTTTTTACTGGAATTTTAACAGACCTAAGAGCAAAAAAGTCTTGATCACTGATGAGATTATTAACTCTCTTGATATCTGCTACCTGTTTAAAAAAAAAAAAAAAGCAACAGTCATCTGAATTCTTAACCAAAATAATGCAAAGTAGCAAATAGTCATTCATCTCAGTTACTTTTGGAAGGAAAAAATAAGTAAGCCTATTAGTGTTATGTTATTCCACCTAAATGAATTTATTTTGCAAGTAATAAGTTTATACCATTTTTTACCTAATTATTAATTACTTTTTAATAACAATCATATTAACACCAATGCTATCGAACAATTCCAGAACCTTTGCCATTTCCTGTAACTATGCATTCATTATGCACAAACAGCACCCTTTTACTGCTTTAAAGCACTATGGAGAACAATTAGATACTTCTTTCCAACTCTAAACTACCGTTTTTCAAAATTAAGATACTACTGACTCTTAAAGATGTAGCATGTCTTACAAACTGCTAATGAAAAAGACCACTATGTTAAATATTAGAGATGCCACCATTTTCTTTCCAGAAATGTAAAAATGTACAGGAAAATATATACCTTAGAACTGACATAATACAGTAATGAAAGCTCTCAGTTGCTGTTCTGAAGCCATTTCCCCCAAACTTCTCAGTATCAATATATCACTCAATTACTCTCGGATTATTTTTATGAGGTTTCCTTGTATATTGTCTGGAAGCTAACTGCATACCTCATCCACCTGCTACTATGAAGAGGGGGATAAAGAGAAAGTTTCTCAGATTTCTAATTGGCATGCCAGGCTCCTCCATCACCCTTACATTATTAATCTCATTCATCATTTCATCTATACTTTCTTTATACTAAGCCCGGATCACTATCACCTAACTGGATATCAGAGAAACAGCCTGGTGGCATATTTTGTTACATGTTCGACTCCTAACTGCAAAGTCAGTGGTTTGAAACTACAAGGTAGTTGTTCTAAGGGACAAAAACACGCAGTCTGCTCTCATGAAGTCTGAGAACCTCAGGAATCTAGTGGAGGTTCGCCATGAGTCAGAATTGACATGAGGATGGAGGGATTAGTTTCTGTTTGTTATCCAAGAGATGAAGTGAGTCTGGAATGAAACCTGGTTATCTGTAGATGGTGATGCCATTCACGGAGATATGCGACACTGCAGAGTGAGGTAATAACTTTTACACACACACTGCGTGTGAGGTGCTTATGAGACACATTAGTGGAGATGTTCCTAGAAGGCTGTGGATCTGTCAGAAATTCAAGGGAAGGTTCTGAATTAGAAATTAAAATGTGCACATTACCAGTAAAAATGGCAGTTATTATGACAAAAGTGGGCAGATTTACTTGAAAAAGATTGAAAAGAACACAGGGAAAGAAAGGTTGCTAAAGAGCATTAACAATTAAGGAGTAAGTTAAGAAGAATAAACTGAAGACTTTAAGGATGATTAGCAAGGAAGGCAGTAAGTAACAGTTGTTGTTGTTGTTAAGTGCCGTTGAGTCGCAGGCAACTCATAGCAACCCTATGAAGGAGAGTCCTTGACTCTCGGGTGCCTTTCATCCTCTCTCCAGGTTCATAGGGTTTCCAGAGGCAAACTGTTATGGAAGTGGATGCCACTCCTCCGTCCACGCTAAGTAACAGTTAAGAGTGTGAATTATCTGGCTTTTAAGCATAAAACTAACTTTTAGTTGTGTAGTTTAAGCAAATTATTTAACCTATGAATGAGCTTTCATTTGTGTAATACAGCAGTAATGATACGACTTTACAAGGCTGATGTGAAAACTAATGAGTTAAAAATCATATTATGCATCTGTAATAATGATATACAGAATGTATTTCAAAAATATTGGCTGTTAGTACATATTAGTTTTAGGAAAAACAGAAATTAGGGGTATTTAAGGTGGTCAAGCAAAGATGTTTTTAGGAGATTGGTGGACAAAATCAAAAGCTGATGAGTTATCAAATCCAATAAACATAAGGGGGGAAAATCCGTTTCTTAGGGTGTGTATGTGCTTGGGTAGGATGGAAAGGAGGACTGAAAAAATATTTAGGGAAGCAAAGCAGTAGAGATAATAGTGCTTTGTCATTTTACTCTTTAAAACAGAACCAAAGCCCAGCTCTAATCTCTTTAAATGCTCTTTGCTTAACTATTTAGAGAACTGTGGCTATTAGCTTCCATAAAGATTTATGGCATCTTTTTGCTTTGAAAACTCTATGGTTCTACTCTGTCCTATAGTGTCACTGTCAAGTCAGAAATGTCTTGAAGACAATGAGATTAGTTTAGTTTTGGTATCCCAAGTATCTTAGCCTAAATCCTTATCACCTTCATCTAAATTACTTTTAAAAGTCTCTTTACTAGATCTCCTCCCTCCAGCAGAAGTTTCTCCATCATTTTGCATCATTCTTGTTATAAATTAACAGCATCAGTATGGAGAGTAAAGAGACTGAGATTGTTCACCGCTTTAGCTTGCTTGGCTCCACAGTCAACACTACTGGCACCAGCAGCCAGGAAATTAAAAGACAAATTGCATTGGCAAAGTCTGCTTTTAGGGACCTCTCCAAAGTACTGAAAAGCAATGGTGTCATTCTGGAGAGGTGCATCTGATACAGGGCCATGATCTCTGCATTCTGGAGAGGTGCATCTGATACAGGGCCATGATCTCTGCAATCGCTTGTTATGCGTCAGAGAGTTGGACGATGACTAGGGAGGACAGAAGGAGAATTGATGCCTTTGAGCTGTGGTGCTGGAGAAGAGTATTGAATGTACCATGGACTGCTAAGAAAACAGTTTATCCTGGAGAGGGTTAAACCAAGCTGCCCCTTGGAGGCAAGGATTCTAGGGCTTTATCTGACATACTTTGGACATGTTGTAAGGAGGGACCAGTCCTTGGACAGGGACATCATGCTTGGGAGGGTGGAGGGACAGCACAGGAGGGGAAGACCCTCTATGAGGTGGATTGATTCAGTGACTGGGGTAATGGGGGTGGGTGTGTCAAGAGACGATGCAATTGGCACAGGACAGAGCACGGTTTACAGATGTTGTACACAGGGTCGCTATGAGTTGCAAGCGACTCGACGGCACATAACAACAACTCACTAGATAGATCATATAGCTACCCCACCTATACAGATCTATCCCACAAAAATGATGAAATTTATCATAAAATGCAAAAATGAGGAAAATAAAAGAGAAAATCCTGACTACCTGTAAATAGGAGAACAATGTAAAGATTATGGTGATCCATACTACAGAACAGGCAGAACCTCAACACAACAGAATGACAGTGACAGCAATGAAGTTGTCTTAAGCATAGCAGCGATGCAAGAATGGCATAGGATCAAGTAAAGTCTTATTCTGCTGCACATGAAGTCATAATCAGTCAGTGCCGACTCAATGGCACCTAAAAACAACATATTATATATTATTATATTCCTATTTAAAATAAGCAAGCTTGGTGAACGATTTATCAACAACCTGTATTATGCGGATGACACAACCCTGCTTGCTGAAACTGAAGAGGACCTGAAGCGCCTGCTGCAGAGTGTCAAGGACTGTAGCCTACAATATGGATTGAGGCTCAATGTCAAGAAGACAAAGATTCTCACCACTGGACCAATTGGCAGCATCAGGATGGATCGTGAAGAGATTGAGATTGTACACAGCTTTAGTTTGCTTGGCTCCATAGTCAACAGTCTTGGCATCAGCAGCCAGGAAATTAAAAGGCGCATTGCCATGGGAAAGTCTGCTGTTAGGGACCTCTCCAAAGTACTGAAGAGCAATGGTGTCTCTCTGGAGACTAAGGTTCATCTGATACAGGCCATGGTCTTCGCAATCACTTGTTATGCATCAGAGAGTTGGACAATGACCAAGGAGGATAGAAGGAGAATTGATGCCTTTGAGCTGTGGTGCTGGAGAAGAGTATTGAGAATACCATGGACTGCTAGGAAAACAAACAGATTTGTCCTGGAAAGGGATAAACCGGGTGGCTCCTTGGAGGCAAGGATTCTGAGGCTCTGTCTAACATACTTTGGACATGTTGTGAGGATAGACTGGTCCTTAGAGAGGGACGTCATGCTTGGGAGGGTGGAGAGACAGCGCAGGAGAGGAAGGCCCTCTATGAGGTGGATTGATTCAGTGACTGGGATAATTGGGATGGGAGTGTCAGAGACAGTGCAATTGGCACAGGACAGAGCGGAGTGTAGGGCTGTTGTACATAGGGTCGCTATGAGTCGTAAGCAAGTCGAGGGCACATAACAACAACAACAACATGGCGATTTTGAGCTGAGGTGCTAGAAAAGCGTACTGAACATCCCGTGGACTGCCAAAAGAACAAACAAGTATGTCTCGGATAGTGTAGACAGACTGCTCTTTGAAGGCAAAGGTGATAAAGCTTCACCTCACATACTTCAGGCATGTTGCTAGGAGGGGCTATGCCTTGGAGAGAGACAAAGGATGCTAAGAAATGCAGAGGGTGAGTGAAGGACAGGAAAACCCTAGACCAGGTGGACTGACACAGTGATTGCTGCAATGTGTCAGGATGTGTGTTAGGATGGCACAGGACAGGACAGAGTTTGGATCTGTTCATAGAATCAGTGACTCGACAGCACCTAACAACATTTTAAAATAATGAGGTAGAGCTATGTAATTTTAAGGGAACTCCCTGATATATTAAGAAATTAAAAAGGACACCTGCAAAGTAATATGCTGTTGTATATCATTGAGGTGGAACCAACTCATAGCTGACCTGCCTATAGGTTTTCAGAGGCGGAAATCACAGTGAAGGAGACTATTCATGTTTCTCTGCAGAGCAGCTAGTGGATACAAACTTTGGGATGTCAGTGCAACTCCTTACTACTAAATGACCACAGCTCTCTGCAAATTAGTATGCACAGTACAAAAATTACCAACCTTTTCCTCTCAATTTATGTATGTTTAAGAGCATTAAAAAAGATATGGAAAGAAGCACATGAAATCATTAATTATCTCAAGAAAATGAGACAAAAAATAATTCTTTTCTAAAAAAGAGGATACATTAAATTTTCTCCTCACAGATTATTTAAGTTTTCTTACATGCTAATTAAGGAGGAAAAGATAACAAAAACATAATACACTTAAGTGAATTTTGATAGTGAGAAACAGAACTGTGACTTTAGAAAGAAACAGACATTCTCCCGGAGGAGCGTGGTTCGAATCCACTAGATGCACCGCTGGAGAAGGAGACGCAATCTCCTCCTGTGCCAGTTGGATCCTATTTGATGGTACACAACAACAACAACAACAAAGAAAATGAGAAACAGACATTCAAATATGCATTTACAATTATTTTAAAGTTCATATTCACCAAAATGTTAACAGATTTCTGTGGAAAGGAGAAAACAGCAAAAATAGGAAGAGGCAGATAAAAAGTATACAAAACTTACTTCAAACTGGTCTAATGAAAAGAGTATTTTGACATGCATAATAAACTAAAACTTACCGTACAACAATATTGAAGGGCTATTGCATTTAAAGTATCTCCTTCTTGTATATCTTTTGTTAATACTACGATATCATCAAGTCTATCTTTTGATATACTTCTTCGGACCTTTTCTTTCCCTCTGGATCGAAGTTCATATACTTCAGCATCCTCTTCCAACACATCACCATCAGCACTACTTCCATATCCATGTGTCTGACCACTCGACTGAACTCCTGGAAGAGGAAAACTGCGATTCTGATGCCTTCCTGCCATGTCAAAACCTACAACAGAAGAAGACCAACTTTGGAATTCAGCTCAATAAATTCAACTGGTTTAAATTATTTCTGAAATAGAATCTTACTGTTTCCAGTTGGTTTTGAGTATACAGAACACACCCCAATTTAACAATTTCTGGATGTACAGTTCAGTGTTATGTATCACTGAGTCAAAAACAAATCAGCTGACTCTCCAATAGGTTTTCAAAGACTGTAAATTTGAAAATAGGAGATTACGTGTCTTTCTACCATGACTTGGTGGATCTGAATTATGTGTCTTTGGGCTGATAGCACAACTGGTCTTCAAGTGGTGCATCCACTTTTCACCATCTTTTTCTGACTTGCTCTTCCTTCATTAACATAAACTACTCCCCCATTATTTAAAGTAGAGAGGTTTGTTTTTGTGTGTGAGTTTTTGATTTTTTTTTTTTTTTAATAGAAGGGGCCCTGGAGGTTTTAAGGACTCAGGTAATATTTTTTATCTATGAGGATTGTGACATCTGAATTGGAAGACTCATCAACAACCTTCTTCATTATGCAGATGACCCAACCTTGCTTGCAGAAAACTGAAGAGGATCTGAAGCGTTTGCTGCAAAAGGTCAAGGGCTGCAGTATTCAAGATAGGTTGAAATTTAACATCAAGAAGACAAAGATTCTCACCAAGATAGATGTGACGAGATTGAAATTCTTAACAATTTCTGTTTACTAGGCACCACAATCAACCCTCTTGGCACCAGCAGTCAGGAAATCAAAAGACAAACTGCATTAGGAAAATCTGTTCAGGGACTTCAGTCTGGAGACTAAGGTGCACCTGATCCAAGCCGCTTGTTATGCATCAAAGAGTTGGACAATGACCAAAGAGAAGAGAAGAAATATACCTTGGAGGTATATACCTAGAGAAGAATATTGAACATACCATTGACTGCCAAGAGAACTAATAGGTCTGTCCTGGAAAGGGTGTAAACAAGCTGCTCTTTGGAAGCAAAGATTTTGTCTCATATACTCTGGACATGTTGCCAGGATGGACCAGTTCTTGGAAAAGGACATCATGCTTGCACAATGAAGAAAGACCCTGGAGGAAATGGATTGAAACAGAGACTAGGGTCATGAGGATATGTATGTCAGAGATAGTGAGATTGGCTCAGGATAGGGTAAGGTTCAGAGCTACTGTACACGGGTTCACAATGATTCACAACTGATTCAAAGGCACATAACAACAACTATGGAATACCATTATTTTCACAAATATCACACCCTGATAAGCAACTTAAGGAGCCCTTTTGGCATAATGAATAGTGACTGTGCTGCTAACAGAAAGGTTGGAGGTTAGAATTCACGAACTGCTCTATGGGACAATGACGGGCATTCTCCACCAGTAAGGATTTACAGCTTTGGAAACCCAAAACAAGTCAAGTGAGTGGGTCAGCAATTTGCACCACATATATTGAGTGAAAATGAGATTTCTATTAAAAAACACAAGCTAACCTCCAAAACCAATAAGATCCTTCTGACACAGTGCACGTATGCATATAACACACATCTTTTAACATTCCCAGATGTGAATTTCAGCCTCCTTTACCCTCACTTAATAGTATATATGTATCACTTACACCATAGTCAGGCAAGCAGTCATAGATGAATTTTGGCTCTGTAAAGGAAAACGAACTTCTAAAACTGTGTCTGCTACTGGGACTGAGAGCAGTGATATTCCTTAGAGCTGATTTGCACTAATACACCATAACAGAAATGCACAGATGGTCAGAGACAGCTGCCACAATCTGAGCTGATTCAAACTGGGCAATGGTGTGTACCCATTCTTCCCAGGACTGGCCCCAAGACAAGCTAGGCAGCAAGATGGTTATTTGTGGCTGCGGACTGCCTCATCCCTATAGGACCTGTTGGTGGTCAGGCCTCTCTAAGTGAGGGACACAGGGCCTATTTTATCTTATGCTCCCAGCTCTGAAACCTGTCCCCAAAAATGCTTTTACAAATAGCCAGAGCTAGAGAAGCTGAATGAATGTAGCTGTGTCATGTTTGCCTCACAGGGTTAAATGGCCTCTCTAGCAGGGGATACACAAACTTATACACTTCCTGGACTAGGGCCAGGCTGTTTGCAGGGCAGAAAAAAAGGATTTCTTTCTGCACTAGAGAAAAGAGTTTTCAGAAGACAGGAAGATTCCTGATAGAAGTCAACCTAAAGGTTGGCTAGGGAGGGTTTGTTGCTAGATGCCAAACGTCTGCTTCAATGTGTTGTTGTTATGTGCCATCGAGTCACTTGCGACTCATAGCGACCCTATGTACAACAGCCCTAAACTCTGCTCTGTCCTGTGCCAATCACACTGTCTCTGTCACTCCCATCCCGATTACCCCAGTCACTGAACCAATCCACCTCATAGAGGGCCCTCTCCTCCTGCGCTGTCCCTCCAGCCCACCAAACAAGATGTCCCTCTCTAAGGACCGGTCCCTCCTTACAACATGTCCAAAGTATGTTAGACAGAGCCTCAGAATCCTTGACTAGAAGGAGCTGCCTGGTTTAACCCTTTCTAGGATGAATCTGTTTTGTTTTCCCAGCAGTCCATGGTACCCTCAATACTCTTCTCCAGCACCACAGCTCAAAGGCATCAATTCTCCTAGGCACAAAAAAATCAACATTAAACCCATTAAAGAGAAATTAAAATTGAAGTTATACACATACTACAAAATAATGACATACTGTGCAATATGTGCACTGTTGTCATTATGTGCCATCAATTAGATGACTCAGAACATTCCTATGAACAATAACTATAAGCCATGCTCTATCTTGAGCCAATCTGTCTTCAATATGACCTCTCCTCATTTAAAATACAGCTCATTAAAACATAGGAGTTCTTGATGTATGTATACTACAAAATAGTTGGCGCTTGAAGACATTCTGCTGAGTGAAATGAGTCAATCTCAAAAGGTAAAATAGTTTATCAATTCATGTCTAAGAAAAGACACTTCTACCTTCCATGGCCATCAAGGCAAAACCAAATCATAACTGACCCTCCAGTGGGTTTCTGAGGCTGAGAATTCCACCAGGGGAGATTGCCCATCTTTCTCCTGAAGACTGACTGAGTTGGAGAGGCACTGCCTTTGGGTTTACAGCATAATTCTCCATGAAGTATGCCACCAGAGCTGAGGGATAAAAAAGACAAGAAGTCAACATACAGAGATGAAAAATTTTTACTTGTTACAAGGGTGGGAGAGGAAGAGTTACTGCTCACTGAGTATTGGGTTTAATACCACAGTGAGGGAAAAAATTGTGTTCAGTGTTACACAGATCTGTAATAGTTGGACTGGTAAAAGTTATGTGATATATTGATTTTAAAAAAGGAGATGCTAAAGCTGCTTATGCACAAACACCTCATGGAATTTTACTCCTTGGTTTGGATTTTCATTGGAGTTCCATTATTTCATAAAACTTCCCAGTTAATGGTTTAATGGAAGGATGCTGAATGCTTCTGTACTACCTCCTAGTTTGCTAAAGTCTTAAAAGCTTACAAATGTACATTCTAGGTATAAGAATATTTTCTCAGTCACACCTGTTATAAAGCATGTCTGACATGAAGGGTTGGGAGAATAGGATAAGAGTAGACAGATAATGAACATTCCATTTGAACAGATGAAGGAAAGAGCTGTTTAAAAGGAATATATGATTAGGCATTATATGTACGACAACAGCCCAGAATAAGAAGTACACTGTAAAGAGGATTGGAGAGGGGATAATTGGGCAACAAAGAATGATTTTTTTTTAAAGTGAACTGGGGTAAAGAGAGAATGGGAGTAAAATGTGTGCAACAATGAATGAATGAAAATTTAACTTTTCTGTAAACCTTCAGTAAAATCACAATTAAAAAAATTTATTAAAGAAAAAATGTCCTTAGTAAGAGGAGGGACTAGAATGTGTGTCACTTAGTTGTCTCTTGAACAACATAGATCTAAAATTCACAGGCCCAGCTAATAGAATTCCCCCCGCCCCCATGATCAACTCCACACCATATTTTTAGTACATACTCGGCAACATTTGACCTTACTGCAATAGCAACAGGGAAGAAAATACGCATGTTTAAGTGGAGCAATGTAATTTAAAATTATGTTGTTCATGGGTCAACTGTTACATCTAGTTTGCTAGAGTCTTAAAAGCTTAAATGGCCATCCTAGGTTTTACCACTATTAAAAATTTAAAAAATTATGGATTGAATTTTCTATTACATTTTAAAAACTTGTAACCAAATACATAATGTATAGTTTTGAAGAGATCAAAGCATAGGTTTACATTTACACACAAACTTTTACAAATCCAAGACTGCAGTTTAAGTTCATGTGGGCTAGAAAGCATTCTGCATTACCTACCTCGACGAGATCGACACAGTGATTGTGGCAATGGGATCAGGTGTATGAGACATTGTGAGGTTGGCTCAGGACAGGTCCAAAGTTCAGAGATGTTCCTACGGTTTTTGTAAGTCATAGCTGACTTAACAACACACAACTACTTAGCTCTATCACAAGGCATTTGACTGTTTGGATCATAATAAACTGGATAACAATGAGAAGAATGGATACCCAAGAAGACTTAATTGTGCTCATGAGAAACCTATTACTAGAACAAGAAACAACAGCCTGAAAAGAAAAGGAACAGTTTAAAATCAGGAAAGGTGTGTGTCAAAGTTGCATCTTTTCTCCATGTCTACTCAATTTGTATAGTCAGCAAATAATTCATGAAATCAGACTACATGAAAAAGAATGTAGCATTATATTGGAAGACTGGAGGAAAACTCATTAACAACTCGCGTTAGGCAAATGACACAACCTTGCTTGCAGAAAGTGAAGAACTGAAGAATTTGCTTAAGATCAAAGACAAAAGCCTTCAATATGGGTTACGTCTCAAGATCTAGAAAACAAATATCCTTACCTCTAGACCAATAAGCAACATCAAGATGAATGGAGAAAAGATTGAAGTTGCTACAATTTCATT